TTATTAGCCATTTTATTCTGCTGCTTTAAGAAGTAATGTGATGTTCATTTTATTGCTGGTTCAATAAATTGTTAATTATAATGCAGTGATTGCAGCTGACGTGATTTAAAAGCCACATTAGCACTATAGCATTAAGTTTTAACTATTTTACCCTTCAATTCCCTGTTTATACAACAGTAAAAGGAAAATAGCCTTAGACTAATATAAAAAATGAAGGTACTTATATGTATTGATCACATGACACATTAGAAATTCATTTTTAATAAAGGTTACACTTTTATCTTGAAAAGGGTTTGGTGAACAATCCACAATGGAACACTTAAGAGAAAACATATTAGGCTAAGAAAGTAAAATACAAGTGAATTTGGTTATATTATGTATATCAATATTCCATTTCATATAAACTATTAAATAGAAAGATATGGTGATTTTGTAAATATCATTTCTTACAGAAATAAAATACAGTTGCTAATATACAAGTGCAGTGGCTTTTGAAGAACATTCTTTTGCTTTGATTCTCAAATGGTCAACATTGGAGCAATAGAGAACACTTCTTTCTTTCAGGCTCAAATGAACCAAAAACTTTCTCTCATGCCTAGATTGTGTGAATATTAATCTCACATTGTACACCCTCTGAGAGAGCTTTTCAGTCACACTCTTTGAAACCCGAGATTGTGACATTCTCGGTACTATACATATTAGCAGTTCCTTATGTACTGCTCAGGATAATTTAAAATGAAAATTCTGTCTTCTCGTGTAAGATTTTAGAGCAAGCTTGTTTGACCACAGCCCTCTTAAGATTCTGCACATTTCAGTATCATAGTGGAAATGGGATCAAGACCTCCTTGCAGGGTTCACTCCGTCCATTTGGATACGGTAGACTCCTACAACATCGTAACTTTCACACCCATAAGTGAGTGTAAGGTGGGCATGTTCATTTATTCTGGAAAAAAAAACAGACTTTCAATGAACTTTAGACATCATCTGAGACACAGGGAAAATAAGAGAGATTTTCTTTATTTGGGTTCATTTGTGACATCTGTTTCACCATGAAACAAGAAAAAAAATTAGCTGTTCAATGTTTCAGTTAAAATATTTTAAAATTTCCTCATCAAATACATATTGAGAAAATTCTGTGATTCTTTTCTTTTTATTTAGTAATCATAGGATTTGTTTATATTTCAAATGTTTTTCTCTTTCCCAGTTTCCCTTCCACAACCCCCCACCCCATATCCCTCCCCTTTACCTCTAAGAGGTTGTTCCCCTGATCACCCACCTACTCCTATCTCACACCTCTGGCATCTTCCTTCTCTGGGATATCAAGCCTCTACAGGACCAAGTGCTTCTTCTCCCACTGATGCCAAATGAGGCAGTACTCTGCTACATATGTAGCAGGAGTCATGGACCAGACCATGTGTATTCTTTGGTTTGTGGTTTAGTCCCTGGGAGCTCTGAGTGGTCTGGTTAGTTGATATTGTTCTTCCTATATGATTGCAAACTTCTTTAGCTCCTTCAGCTCCTTCAGCTCCTTCAGCTCCTTCAGCTCCTTCAGCTCCTTCAGCTCCTTCAGCTCCTTCAGCTCCTTCAGCTGCTCAGCCCTTCCCCTAACTCTTCCATAGAGGTGCCCTGGTATCTGCATCTGTCTCAGTTAGGTGTTGGTACAGCCTGTCAGAGAACAGCCATAGCAGGCTCATTTTCTGCATAACAAAAGTCACTTTCGAGTGAAGTCCAGATGATCTCATGTTCTAGAAAGGGCTTAGAAATTGTCTTTTGGTTATTTTCCCTTTGGCAACTAAGCATTGATCAAAGAATTTTTCAGTGTAGTTTGCCATTCTGTATCATTGGAGTTCCTTTGTTTTTTGTGTCTTGTGCTATTAAAAGTATATAGTAACATTGATATAATTTATATTCATTTTAATAAGGGAATAATTAGTTTATTAACTATTTTATAGGATCATAAAATGTTAACACCAATACATGCACGAGGCATTTAAGCAATGTTGTTTAAAATCTTTGGTCTTCTGACTGTAGTTAGTCATTTCAAATCAGGCAGATCTTTTCTGTCTCACTTTCTCAGTGGGTCATGGAACCTGAACTTACTAAAGTCTCTGTAGATAAGGAAATATTCCTCTTCATCCAATGTTCTGATGTGGAAGCTAAGGGCTAGGTCAGGATTCTGTGGTTACACAGCTCCCTCCATGTTCCTGTTAATTATTTCCATGCTGTGGACTCAGCATTCACTGCCCTGCCAACCCTTCTTGTCAGTCCTGTCATGACTGGCTTTCCCTCTCTTGTATTTCAGGTAAAGGTTTTACATCCTCATGGTAGTTTTCTTTTTTCCAGTTGAGTTTACTTTAGTCAGAAATTACCTTACTCAGTGTTTCACCTCTCTCCCCTATTACAATGAAAGTTCAGTCAAGCATGAACCTTGCCCTCAGTTTTTATAATCGCTTCTCTGTGACCCAACAGGTTTTGGGAGTTCAGTCTATTATTGAATGAGTTAACGAACAAGTGAGAGTGTATACACGATTGACAATATGGGCTTCACAATAAGTTCTTGTCTTAAAAAACAAGATAAAACAATGCAGTCTTGAAGTTGTACTCCTGCAGCATTTATTCTTGAATTTCAGACTGATAAATGATTAAAAACTGTGAAAGCAAAACAGTCATAGCTATGTGATTTCAATGGCTACATTTATCAACTGGATCAAGCCATATTGAGGAGATTAATAGAATCCATCTCAGTTTGGAGCCCTGAGGACGTCTGCTGAGACATTATTTAATATCCCACAGTCTCAGAATCCAAGGGAAAGAAGAGAGGAAGAGGCTGGAACATACAAGTACAAGTACTTGCTATTCTGCTTCCAGTCCAGCATGAAGTAAGCAGTTCTCCTCCAATAGAGATCCCCTACCATGATGCCTTACCACATCTCATTCAATGAGGTCTAGCGACATGCACTAAAACTTTCCTTAAATGGCTTTTTTCATGTATTTACCATAGCATTAGAGAACTGTAAATAATGTAGTCATTTTGAAAATCATAGATATGAATTATTCTCATGAACATACTTATTCTCTAAAAGGAGACAGCGTTGTCATTTTCTTCTATGTTACTCATATAAATCAGTATATCTGGCTAAGTAAACACTGAATAAAGGAATAAAATGTGAGTTGGCATCTTATTCTTTTAAACATTATTTTAAGCTATATATTTCTTTTTAACCATGTGCACTTGATGCTTCTATGATGGAGATATATATATATATATATATATATATATATATATATATATATATATATCTCACACACTCTTGTTCCATTCATGACAATATTTAAAAGATTTTTCAAATAATTCCTCATAGTTTTAAGTTCTCTTTGCATTCTTCTTGTTTCACAGGGAACAAAAGAATACCATGGTTAGAAATTGTTCTTTTCATGGTTTTAGTTTAAGCTCAAGGCAGAAAAACTCTTGAACCAGCTGCAAGCCAATCTGGCCAGTCTAATATTTATGATAAAACATTTACTACAAAGTATTCTATTTAATGGAAAAACTTAGGATGTGTCCTTTCCCAGATTTTTATATTGCCTCTTCTCTTCACATTTTATAGATTGAGACATGGAGTGTGAACCATGAATCCAGTTATTGCATTGCATATTGGTAATGTGTTTTCTGGAGACAGCGTCTATCATTGTTGTAACTCAGTTTTTAATATGTTAGCAGAGAGAAAAATTACTGCATTTTGGTTGTCCCGTTTTGAAAGAATGTTACATGTGTGGATTTCTTGAACATGCTCGCTAAACAATAAACTAGGCCACTTGGCTCATTTTACCATAACCCATTTGTGTGGAAAACATTTGGAAATATACACAGGTACTGCTTCAATAAGTTAAACAGAAATAAGAACTTTCTAATAAAGGCTTTTTTCTAAGATTTTTGATACTTCCCATCTCTGTTAAAAAGAAAAAAAAACTCAAAAAACACAAAGATTGGAGACATACATCATACAAGGTATGCCATCTGTAGAAATTTGGTCTGGTTCTTCCTCCTGAACCAATGCTCCCAGAATAAGACTCAGACTCAAAATATATTAACAAATATATTAACAAATATATACCTTGAACATATGATTAGGTTTATCTCTGACTAGACCATAACTTAATATAACCCATTTATTCTGATCTACACTCTGCTATGTGATTGGTTACCTGTGCTCAGTTACCATGTGTCCATCTTGTCACATCTTCCTGGGCAAATCTCCCATGTCTGGCATCCCAGAATCCTTTCTGGCACCCATTGTCCTGCTTCCTTTTTTCTGCCTAAACCACAGGCCATCAGATTTCTTATTGACAAGTGCCACATCCATAGAGCCATAAGATATTCTCTCTACAGCCTTCCATTGTTGAGTTTGAGTAAAGTAACTCAGAAGTCAGGAAAATATATTGTCACTAAAAACACTAATGTTAAAAGTCGACATTCCAACTGAGCCTTTTTGCCAAAGAAGAAACACAGACACAGATGAAGGTCTGTAGACATCTAAGAAAGAATAAAATTATTAAATACAATTAAGGATAATATACAGTCAAGATGATGACAAATGAAAGAAATCTATGTAATCAGTAAATGCTTATTTGGGAGTTTGTATTATTGTTAGCAGTCAGATATGAATTCTCTAGGAAGAGACCATGAAGGTCTGCATTCTGATCCTGTCAGTCAGTTTGTTATCAGTGTATTAATGAATTATAAAGTTTCCCATCATCATTTTTATTCTTATTTTAAGTAATGATTCTTTATCAAGCTGTTTTAGATACCAGTAATAGGTACATTGAAACGAACATTTGTTCACAGATATTTTTATCTTTGTCCTCATCTTCAAAATAAGACTTTAAAATATGCATATTCATCTATCACATTAGTTTCTATTACCTATGCTTTTAGATTATCAGCAGTTGTCAGAACTGACCCCACTAATAACTTTATCTCTTTGATCTGTCTTGTATATTATAGTCCTTCATGAATTTAGAAAAACACATACGCATCAATGAGTTGTGGATGGCAAATGAGGATTTATTTTTGCATTTGTCTTCTATGCATCTGTCCACCCTTTGAACAAAAATACAAACAAGTGTTATATATTGTATTTTTATATTTAATCTTGTTTTTTACAGTCCAGTCATTATCCACCTCCTAGTCTACCCTCCAATAGTTCCTCATTTTATTCCTACTCTTCCTTCTCCAAGAGGATGTCACTACCTCCCATCCCAACCCACAAAAGCATTTGAGGATAAAATACATGATATTGGCACATTATCCATAATTAATAAGCTGAGAGCAGGACCATCAATACACACTCTAACCATTTTAGGAAGAAGAGAAAAGGCCTAAGCATTATTCATTATTATATATGGTAGTTCTGCAGCTATAGTACAGACTGTCTTATATCAAAAGAATGAGCACAGATAAGAAACAATCTGCTTTAAAGCTTCTGATATATATGCAATTAATGTGTAACATAGATATGAGATGATGGAGACATTTTATGTGTACAATTATATAAATTTCAACCATTTCTTATACCATTTATTTTATATCTTTATCAAATTATAGAATATTTTTATCATCCCTGAAATGACTTTTTCTACTCTGTGGTCAATTCAAATGCTCCTAAGAATAAAATCTTTTTTTTCTATTTCAAGTATTTTTCTTTGATATATCATTCATGCTGGTTCTAAGAATGTATCTTAGTATAAGAGGGTTGCCTATCATGGGTAAGGCCCTGGCTTTCCTCCATAGTGCTATAAAACAAAGAGCCTGCTTTATGCCCACTTAACTGGGTATCAATTTTATTACATACAGCAATCCAAACACTGAATAATCCTTGATATGAAAAGTTTTACAGATCATTCATGGCAAGTTTTGTGGCTGTCTAGATCAACAGGCAAGTATAATATCTACTTTTTGATAATTACAAATGAAACAATGTTTCTTATAGACTAAGCCTAACTTCTAAAAATAATACTTTGTCTTGTTTTAAATTATCATTTTGAATGATGTGTGTGGGCCCTTGAGTATGGGAGGCAGCAGAGTCAGAAGGTAGTTTTATAATTGGTTGTGACCATCTTGATTTGGGTGAAAGAGCACAAGACCCATCATAGAACCATGATTCCCATCCAAGGTCTGTCTTTTTATGCACTTTTAATTGTATTGACAATGCAATATATTCTATCAGTTATTTCCTCATTTATTTGTTTGTTTTATAGGCAAGGTATTTTTAATGCCAAAAACAAACAAACTAACAAAAAACTATAATCCCCTCCTATACAGGAATCAGGTACCTTCCTAGAATGTTGGGAATTGTAGTTCTTGGGAAACAACAAAACCTAATGGAAATGTAAGGTAGCTAATAGTTTCTCCTTATAAGTTCCTGCAACAAGTGTCTGTGAGTCCATTCCAGCTGGGGAATTATAGAAATTAGTCCTGATCAGGTCAAAGTCTTGGTCAGTAATTAATATTTAATAAATGCTTCCTTTAAACTTGAAAAAGAGAAGAAGAGAAGAGAAAAGAAAAGAAACCAAAACAGAAAAACTTGCATTGAAGAATGACAGTTTTGTTTATAGTTAAAACAGTTTGCTTGGTGCTAAAATCTAGCTAAGAGATAAGTCTGTGTGGTATAAATTCCTCCTAATTAAGGTGCTTTTTTGAAATCAAGAGTAAGTTCCTAGTCTGATGCAGTCTGCTTGTCATCCCCAGTCACTGATGTATGTCTCTTTTTTTCTTTTCTTTTATTGGATATTTTCTTTATTTACATTTCAAATGTTTTCCCCTTTCCAAGTCTCCCCTCTGGAACCCCCTATCCTATCCCCCATCCCCCTGCCTCTATAAGGGTATTCCCCCTCTGATGTATATCTTTGCCTTTGTTATTGCTTGTAACTTCCATTCACTTGATGCATATCCTTGTCTTTGTACTTGTATCCTTTAACAATAACTCTTAACTCTCTCTCCCTCAGTAAACACCTTATCTCCCCTATAAAAAGAAATTCAAGAAGCCATTGGGGCTTCTCTCATGACTTAGGGGAGACAGCAGACTGACTAGCCCAGAGTGGACTCAAATACAGCTTGCTTTATTTTGAACAATTGTGGATTCTGTTCTTTATTTTCCCTGGTGAATCCCAGAATTAACAGTTTCACTATTTAGCCCTGCCTGGCCCAGGACTCTCAGAGTATACCAAACTTATACAAAGCCTCCTGACCTTGCCTCTTAAGAGTTGGAGTTAGGCTGGGCAGTGGTGGCCCACGCCTTTAATCCCAGCACTTGGGAGGCAGATTTCTGAGTTCTAGGACAGCCTGGTCTACAGAGTGAGTTCTAGGACAGCCAGGACTATAGAGAGAAATCCTGTCTCAAAAAACCAATAAATAAATAAATAAATAAATAAATAAATAAAAATTAAATAAATAAATTTTAAAAAAGGTGGAATTAATGGGTGTGCACCACTGTGCTTGACAAGTTCATTCCTTTTTATCTTTATGTTCTGAATATACAATATGTAACAAATTGTCTTTTTTTCCTGAAAATAGCATTTTGTGTTGTTATTTGTGTCTTGGTTTAGTTTTATAAACACAGGGGATAAAATTTCAATTATTTCCATCCTTTATGATTATAGAGATAGAAAGAATCTGATCTAAGAAAATCCTAAATTCAATGTCTGACTATGCTACTTATAGATTGACACTTAATTTCAAGCAAATAAACTGAGCAAACACAAAAACAAAAATGACACCATCCTTCAATGAAGCCAACATTTTCATCTTTCCTTTATCTTTGAGTTGAATGACTTCACCTTTCAACACATGGCATTTCTGGAGTCCCCACTCACTTCTACTTCAGGAGAGGTAAGAAGCCTTTCCTTGTCGCAACACAGTGTTTGTAAGCGGATGTGGGTTCTGAAAGCTGCTGAGGTCATAATGCTCAAGCTGTTTGAACTTCAGAACTACTCACTGACTGGATGCCGTTTCTTGTCCAGTTGTGGTAGTTTTAATTAGATATAGACCACACACTGATGATCATTTTAATAACTGGTCTGCAGTTAATAGTGCTGTTTGGCAATGTGTAGAAGGTGTGGTCTTCCTGCAGAATGCAATGCATTAGGGCAAGACATTTTAAGAGATTAAAGCTTTGCTCTACTCTTCACTATCTCTGCTTCTTCACTGTTTTTCAAAATGTGGGTTTTCAGTTACAGTTCTTGCAGTCATGACTGCAGTCATGCTTCCACACCATGATGTCCTTTTATCCCTCTGGAGCCATAAGTCAAATAAGCCATTTCTTCTAAAATTTGTCTTGGTCATGGTTTGTTATCACATCTTTAGAAAAGTAAAAAATACGCTAACCTTAGAATACTTTACTCTGAGTACCTAAGTCTTACTTAGTATTTAATAAAAGTTGTCATGGAAGATATAGGGTTTCTGGGCTGTTTTTCTTTAGGGCATCCTTTGCAGTGTATACTCCCTAAATTTAATCATTTTCATGGCTTCAATATAGCTTCTGTCTTCTTACCTCATTATTGCTGTTAGATTCTTGTGTGTCATGGCACAATCCCCTATACTATGTCCCAAAAGTTAGAACAAAGCTAGTGGCCATGACAGTTGTGACATTATCTCACATTTCCTTTTCCTTGTGAATCAGAATCATACAGAGTCCCTAACGACATTTTTACAAACAACTGTTCCATACATTTTGATTAGATTTTTGCTTATGTTAGGAAAAGAATTCTTTCATCCTGGAAATAGAAAATAAAATAGTCTATAGGGTCTTGTGTATAACCCAATGGTTAAGCATTTTTGTTCAGCATGTACAGGGGCCTAGATTGAATACTTAATAGGACACAAATGCAAATTAAAAGTAACTATTTTAATTCTAATGACATTGCTTGATTACTGAGAATAAAGATATGATTTTAATTTGTCTTAAATTTTATCCCTTTCGATTTTAAAGCTTCATGTGAATTTTGGAGAACATAGAACTAGAGATACCTTTAATTCTACTGGATCTTCAGTTTAAGAATGACACAACTTAGCAGGAAACAGGGACACAATTTGGAAGGAGACTGTAGCCTGGTGATTAATTTGACCTGATTGTTATTTAGATTATGTGATCTGAAAATTAGTTAATTAAGGGGGGTATTTAAGTAAATTTTATTTGCAATCCAAATAATTCTGGCATAGCTTTCAAAACGGCAGTTTTCTTTATTAGTACACAGTATAGGTTATCACTCACTATCTTAAGTAAGATCAACCCAGTAAATTCACTTTAGGTTTTATAATAATGTAGCCAGCTATTAACAAATAAACTTTACATTTCTAAAATTGATTATACAGTTATTAGGACAACTGAGGAATTACTAATATTTAATATTTGTTGAGACCTTTGAATAAATGTTGTGAGGGAAATTTGAAATACTAGTATATTGTTGAAGTCTAGATTAACATTAATAATGTAATTATAGTTACCTGTACATATCAACATGTATGCCATCTCTTTGTAATTACTGAAAACTTTAGTTTTGTATATGTATCTATCTATCTATCTATCTATCTATCTATCTATCTATCTATCTACCTACCTATCTATCTATTTGTCTATCTAGACATTTACAGAAAATCGTGTCCTTCCCAGGAGTTTACTGATTGAAGAATATAAAAGATATTTTTCTTAATCATTCCATTCATTTACATCTCAAATGATATCCCACTTCCCAGTTACCCCTCCCCCAACCCCCATTTCACATTTGCCCTCCCTTTTGTCCATAGGAGAGTGCCCTCCCACCCACCTACACTCTCCTGCCCCACCGCTCCAGCATTCCCCTACTCTGGGGCATCAAACCTCCCTGGGACCAAGGCCTCCTCTCCTGTTGCTGTAGGACAAGGTCATACTCTGCTACATATGTATCTGAAGCCCTGGATCCTTCCAGGTACACTGTTTGTTTGGTGGTCTAGATTTTGGGAGGACTGAGCAGTTAGGCCAGACTATGTTTTTCTTTTAATGGGGTTGCAGTCCCCCTCAGTTCCTCCAGTCCTGTCGGCTCCCCCACAATGTTCCCTGAGTTCAGTCTGTTGGCTGGCTCCAAACATCCACA